AAATCAGTGAAATCTCCTGGCAGGGTCATCCCCTTTCCCATCGGAGGGCACCTTCTGCCTTCTCATGCCTTCTGCATGGATATGGGGGAAAGGGGGCGTCCCACGGAATGCCTGCATACATTATTGCAGGGTTCCCCAAAAATCCCTTGGGTCAAAGTCTCTGCCAGTGTAAACTGACAGAGAATTTGGCCCCTTGTTCTACTAGTTTCCTGGCTACGTAGATCTAATTTATCTGGGAGATACTTCAGGTACTACAGTGAAGGGCTTTACAGAAAATAGACAGACAGACAGGCGGGTGGATGGATGGATGGATCACTGAGTGGGTGGCCTCACCGTTCTTTGATTTTATACCCAGTTTTCTGACAAACACAGACAAATATTAAAGCATAACATTAAAAACATGGGTAATCCTCACTGCACCAAAAAAATGACCATGATGCCTTTGTGATAAATCCCCATGCAGATAGGTCAGGCTGCCGTTGAGTTCTTCCTGCCGTTCTAGGTGGGAGCTGTATGGTACATTAGAGACGACAATCCAGATTCAGTTCTCAGTTACATCGGAGCAAGTCCGTGGGAGCTGCACCATATAAAGAGAGCGGCATCCAGCGCTGGCTGAGAGCGTGGAAAGAACACCGGGTTCTGATAGGGCCCGGAGCTGTTCCTAGTCCCAGTTCTCTGCAGCTTTGTTTGAAATTGTATACCTTGGCGGCCTTCCAGGAGTAAGGTAAACGTTGCTGTGCCTCGGTGGGTGGTCCTGCCTGCTGGAGAAGTGTAAAATGAAGAGAACTTGCCTTCAGAACATCGGCTCTGTGCCGGGCTTTGGTGTTGTTGAATTGGCCAGGCCCAGCGGGTTGTCATGAGCTGATTTATCATAGCCTGGGGTAGACAAGGTCAGACTGAATTATGAAAGTGAGCTCTCTCTCTCGCTGTCCCGCTGTGAAGTTGAATAGCATGCAGCACGCTGCAAACTGTTATACAGTATAGTACGTGCAGCGTGACAGCTGGGAAATCAAGCACCCAGAAGGCAGAAAAGGGCAGGGAAGATGCATTATTCAGCCTTGCATTTAACAAACGAAAACAACTGTAGAAAAGAGCACAGATGTGCTGGAATGTCTATGCGACATTGGCTTAGACATCACAAGTCAGAGTCATTCCTCCCTGTTCCTTCTGGCTCAAGGTGCACAAAGAGGATTCTCTAGGCAAGGGTGTAAAGCTGGTGTCACCGGTTCCTACACCAACTGCTCCCCACAGCAGAAAGGGCGTGTCAGGATCTGGGCACAGTGTGCTTGAGTTCTGCAATTCTCAACTGGCCTGTGGCCCGTAGGGGACCTGAAGAGACTCAGTCTTCCTGCGTCCTTGTCTTCTGCAAGCCTTCTGCAAAAAGGGTGAATTTCCCCCAGGTTTGCCTGCCTGATTTGCACGTGCAGTTGCTCTGACTGCATGTGCAATTCCACATGCAACTCAGGCACCCGAATTGCTTGTGTGCTGGCCTTTGTGGCATAAACACGGAGCTGTTTTCAAAGATCAAAAGAGTTGTGCTTTAAAAGAGATCTAGGAAAATCCAGGGGGAAACAAACTATCTGTTTCCCTACACAAAGCAAGGGAAACTGTCTAGCCCAGCTCAGGAAATCCTTTCAATCTGCCTGGAAAATCACAGGGCGTTTTGTTTGGGGATTTTTTTTATGAGTCTGCTCTATCCTTGCAGCCTCCACCTACAGCTGTCAAATAAAGCGTGATCTCGGAAACAAGGCTGGGACACCAGACCCCGCATTTAGCAGCTATAGGACAATGATCTCTGTTCGGGGCCCTGCACACCAGCAAGCTAGCTGCTGAAGGGAACCCAGGGTGCAAGCACTGAAAATATTAAGATGCTGTGAGCACCCGTAAAAGCCTTGGGGGTTGCAGCTCCTTTGACTGGATCGTGGGGTTGTTTTCAAGCTCAGCAGCCATTTGCGATAGCTGGAAATGATGGGGCTGGGCTTGTTCCGTGGGGAAAAGATTGAGCTAAGCAAGCTTCTCTGCTACCCTGGTGCCGCCGGAACAAAAAGGGATTGAAGCACATAACCAAAACCTAGAGCAGGTACATACCTGTCCCCCATTACTGCAGTATCTGAACACTGCATATTCTGGAATGCATTTAACCTCACAACCCTCCTGTGAGGCAGTGAGGTCCTATTACCCCCATTTTACAGATTGGAAACTGAGGCACAGAGAGGCTAAGTGACTTGACCAAGGGCATATAGAAGAGCTGCGACAGAGCAGGAAATTGAACCTCCGTCTCCAGCATCCCTAACCCTAACACTTTCATTAGGCGGCTTTTGCAGCCAGAGACTGTCTAGGTGCCCAGGTGTAGGCCAGTCACCTCTGGCAGCAGATCACTCACTGTCAGAGTCACCTCTGGCAGCAGATCATCCACCTTATTCTTAAAGGGGCAGCTCCCATTTCTCTTACATAACACCACCGTTCACAAAAATGTATCACTAAGAAGAAACAAAGATTCAAAATTGTTATTAACACTGAACCCCGTTGGGAAAGATCTCTTCCAGGCAGCTCCCAAATGCAGTGGTTTCATTTCTTGGCGTCCCCCTGTTTTTTGAAATGGTGAGTCAGTTACAAACAGAATATCACTGGAATCAGCTCCTCTCATCTGTCTCTTTCAGCGCACAAGACCAACTTTTTGTTTCATTTCATGCTGGATTCAGCAGTTCCCTTGTGGCGCAGAGGCTTGGCATGAGACTCTGATCTCATTTGCCCTGGAGTGAATCCGGCGTGACACCGCCCAACTCGATGGCGTTACACTGGGTTTGGAACCAGTAAGAGCCAAGAGCCACAGCAGGCCCATGATTTGGAAAATGGCTTGCAGTCCTGGGCACTTTTCTGTAAATGTATTACCGCTGAACAATGCCAGACAGCTCGCACTGGGGACTGGCATGTGTAAGCTCCTTGGAGCAGGGTACAACGATGTAGCTGTTCAGGTATTTTTAACCACACCGATTACCACAGAATCTGAGCCCGGTGGGCTCAGTGCTGCAAGGAGTTCTGTGCTGGGCCAGAGCCCCGTTGAAGTCAAACTTGGCCAAGGCAAGACAATTCCAGGTGCATGCCTGTGGCCTGGATTTGCTGAGCCATGAATCGCCATTAGGCGATCCCTGCAAGGATGCAGTGAGGACTAGAGAAGCAGTGAAAAGACTCGTACTGGGCCTTTAGACCAGACTCAACTCAACTCAACTCAAGTCGCCGCTCTGTGCCTCAGTTTCCCTTCCTCTATTGGACTTTAGATTAGGCTGTCCATTATTATTATTATAATGATTATTATTTATTAGCAGGAACTGTAACTGAATGATTGTGAGATCATTAGTATTACACCCCTGGAGTTTATTTCCCTTCCAACAAGTCTCCACTCGGTTCGGTTGTATTTGTCTGAAATCAGAGGGCCTAATTCTCATTCACCTTCACACCCCTTTGCAGCTCTGGCAGGGGAAAGGGGCCCTCGGCCAAACAAAAAGCTGACCCTTTGGCAGAAGAGAAACCAGGGCAGAGATTTCACAGCTGGCCATCATCACACTGTGTGAATGTTTGAAACCAAGCCCGGGGAGCCAGGATTGTCAAATGCCAGCCCCATGTGTGAATCCCTCTTGGCAGCAGTCCAGGGTTTTCACCTGAGCTCTAAAGGGCTAACAGCTTCTCTCCTGCAAACTGGATTTCAGTGCAACAAGCTCCGTCACGCCAGTGAAGGGCCGGGATCCTTTTTAAACATTTTAAAACTTATGTCATAAAGGCCCCAAGAAGATATCTCTTCCAGCCAGCTCCTATTCATCAGCTACATGCTGGCATGGGGAAATTACTGTGGGGTTATTGCCTGGGAGCTCTGAAATCTACCAGCTCTAGCATCCAGGACTTTCCCTTATTATTATTATTGATTTGCATTGTGGTAGCACCTTGGAGCCACAGTCGCTGACCAGGGCCCCCTCGTGCTTGGAGCTCTTACATTGGCACCACGCCATTGGCAGATGGCACGTGATCAGAATCTGGCTGCCTACAGTCCAAAGAGCAAGAGCCGTGATCACGGGGCTGAGGCGGGGAAGAGACACTGTAAAGCCTGGCCTGCTCCAGGGCTCAAGTCACCTGAACTTTCCTCCTTGCATTTGCCACCCATGGAAGACAGTCCCCTCCACCAGCTGACGTCCCATGATTCCCTCCGCTTGCCCTCTCCCAACCTGCAGTGCCCAGTGTCTGTGGCAGAGGAGGAGAGAAATTGATCCTTCCGTTGGTTCAGCTATGGCCCCTCTGTGCTTAGATCTTCAAAGGGATTTAGGCACCACTGATTTCAATGGGACTGAAGTGTCTAAATACCTTTGAGGGTCTGCACCTTGTGGGACGCACAGGTTGGCATGGAGAGCTGCAAGAGCTATGTAGCATACTAATAATATTACGTGGATAACACTTCACCTCCACAGAGCATCATTATCCCCTTTTAGAGGCAGGGAAACTGAGTCACAGAGCAGCAACGTGACTTGCCCCAGCTCTCTGAGTCAGTCCACAGCAGAGCTGGGAAAATAACCCTGGTCTCTTAACTCCCAGTCCTACCACAGCAGCTGCAGCTGGGAGCAATCAGGCTCTGAGACCACAACTGTGCTCTGGGTAGACAACTTGCGTGTATCCCCGGTTTTAATTAACAGCATGAATTACTGGCTGGCGTCACATTACAGAGCAAGCCAGAGGCTAGTGCGGACCAACAGAAATCTGAGCCCTAAGCCTGAAGGAAGAGGAGGAAAATCAACGGGGGAGGGGGGAGGGAGCTACTGTACCCTCCTTGATTTCACCAGTTGTGGCTCTTCTGTCTAGATCATGGTATCTCGGCTATGAATCTTCCGATGGCACCTGGCCAAACATCTCTAAATTCTCTTTTCCTACGATGAGGCAGAGTCCTCGGGCACTCTGCAGCTAGAGAGACAGATGGCCAGACAGAGAGACAGATCACTGAAGATATTTAGTCCCTCTCTGATAGTCTCCATGCTAATATCAATACGCCCCCTCTGCGGATACCTCCGCCCCTCCTATTAACCCCTTGTCCCCTGCTGACCTGGCTGCCATGGCTCCTGCTTACAGCATTGTTTGCGAAGAGGATACGGGGCTTGATCCTCCCCCTGACTTCACCCAGGCGTGGAAGCCTGCTCCAGGCTCTCCGATGATGCAGAGGGTGTGGATGTTCTGATTTACCGTGAACAACGCATGTCAGGAGGCCATTCCCTGCCTGTGCCCACGCACTGGCTGTACATGCTGAGGCAAGGCGAACCGAGTGTGCATTGCTCCAGTGAGCAGGAAGGCTGTGTGACACGGACGCTTTGAAGGCACCGGCATGGCCGACCAGCTGACGGAGGGGCAGATCGCAGAGTTCAAAGAAGCCTTCTCCCTCTTTGACAAGGACGGGGATGGGTCCATCACCACCAGCGAGCTGGGGACCGTCATGCGGTCGCTGGGGCAGAACCCCACCGAAGCCGAGCTGCAAGACATGATTAGTGAGTTGGATGCCGACGGCAGCGGCACGGTGGACTTCCCCGAATTCCTGTCCATGATGGCGAGGAAGATGAGGGACACGGACAGCGAGGAGGAGATCCGGGAAGCCTTCCGGGTGTTCGACAGGGACAAGAACGGCTACATCAGTGCGGCGGAGCTCCGGCATGTCATGACCAACCTGGGCGAGAAGCTGACGGACGAGGAGGTGGACGAGATGATCAAGGAGGCCGACAGCAACAGCGATGGGCAAGTCAACTACGAGGAGTTTGTACGGATGATGACGGAGAAGTGAAGAACTGACTTTCCTGGTACCGCATTCACTCATTCATTTGCTTCCTTTCACTGTAACCTACCGGTCAATGGTCCGTCCCCTCTTGCCCAAGGCCTGTGCATGTCTCTGCTGTTCTGTTGGTTTCTTCCCCTGTATTCTATTATTTTATTCTAAAGGCTGGCTGTGACTTACCCTGTTTGTTAGCTAAGCCCTGTGGCTCATCTGAAATTTAGCGTCTCTGATTACACACCTGGTTTATGCCTCTTTCAATAATCAGGTTTCCTTTAGACTAGGCAGCATGTGGCATTGGAGCCTATGTGTCCCAAGGACAGTCAACAAATGGGGCCTGATCCTTCCAGCCCTTACTCCTGTTGACATCAGTGACTATCCCTAAGAGTAGGGATTCCTCAACAGGGCTGGGGTTTTGCAAGATCACGTCCTTGGCAATTTGCACAGACTTTCAAGCCAGATCCAGACCCTGCCTCTGCCATTGGGTCCATGCAAGCAGACCCTCGCTCTGAAGCAGGGCCCTGCTGAAGTCACTGGGGTTCCATACGGGCACAAGGGTTCACTTGCATGGATATGGATGCGAGACTGGGGCTGTATGCTCATTATTAGTTTAAAAAAAAAAAAAAAAAAAAGGACCAAGCCACAAATGGGGGGAGGGATAGCTCAGTGGTTTGAGCATTGGTCTGCTAAACCCAGGGTTGTGAGTTCAATCCTTGAGGGGGCCATTTAGGGATCGGGGGCAAAAATTGGGGATTGGTCCTGCTTTGAGCAGGAAGTTGGACTAGATGACCTCCTGAGGTCCCTTCCAACCCTGATATTCTATAAATCTTGTTCTTGATCTGGAAATTCTTCCCACTGCCCTCCCACCCCCCAACCTCCCCGGAATTCTGGGACACCTGTTGGGAGGGTTGGGTTCACACCCACAGGCACTTGCCTAAGGGGAGTTTCACTGTGATCTTAGCTGGTGTCTGTCTGTCTGAGTTTGTCTTTGTGCAGCACAGAAGTGGATTCTGCTGGGCTGGGTAGAAGAGTCACAATGCAGAGGCCAGATTCCATTCGAATTTGAACGCTAGACACCAGCGAACATGAACAAAGACAAGCGTTTGGCCTCCCATAAGATTTGCCAGCGGCCTGACTTGCAAAATGAGGACTGACTGCATGAGCTTCTACAGAAATTTTCTCCAAGGAATTTGTGGCCAGCCTGGGAACACATCCTAAAGAAATCTTTGTGCTGCTTGCACTGCCTCTGTCTTATTCCCGATGGTACAAACCTTAAGGGAAGGGGAGAGGATAGGCGAATAAGTTAGATGCTCATTTTCTCTCCGGGGTTATTTGCCTTTTAGGAAACAGGAAATCTGGCTGTTAAGGATGCACACAGTAGATAGCTACATCTGCACTGTGACTACCATTTGGGCGACATTGGGGTTCCCTTCAGATGTTGTCCATTCAAATGGTTATCAGAACACTGGGAAGCATAAAGCTGTAATACTGCAAAGCGGGTGTCTTATTCAGGTGCAAGGCTGGCCATTCAAACTGTGGCCCCTTTGCTTTTCCAAGGAGAGAAAGTCACAGTGGGACTCCCTGGGCTTTGGATCTCATGATATAGGGTGACATTCCATGTGCAGGACACCACAACAAGGCTTATAAGTCAGGTCCCACTTAAACTCACAGGCCCTGATCCTGCAAACAATTATGCATGGGCTTTACTTACAATAGGACTTTGCAAGTCAATGGGACTAGTCGTGTGGTTAAAGTTAAGCCGGGGTGTAAATGTTTGCAGAGCGGGGTCTATAAGGCAAAATGGGATGTAAGTGGCACATTGGTTTCCATGCAGGAATTTCACCCCCTGGGAACACCAGGAATGCTGCTGGAATCCTAATTACCTGCCAAGCATCATAGACGTGCTGTTAGAATCCACTGTGTTCACCTTTTTTCTGTATACCGCCGGGCTTGCCCCAGAAAAATGTTTCCTTCTGTTGTGCCTCTGCGTCCATTTTCTGTAGCCGATCGTTTTCAAAAGGATCAGCTTCTCATGCAAGCTCCCCCTCCGCTAGTCCAAGTGGTAGCTTTGTTTTCAAATAAAGGAATGATTATTTGCTTCCAGAGAACTTTCAGTGCTTCCTTTTCTCCACTCCCAGCTAGAACCCAGAAAAAGCGTTGATCGTGTGGCACTAAGGATGGGCTCAAGCTGCAAACGTCAAGGCTCAAGCTTGGTTACCAACAGCCCAAGGTTCCAGGCTGCTTGGGGTAGGCCCTTTGGCCTGAGGGAATGTGCATAGGGCTGGAAGCCAGGAGCCCAGATTTGCCTGAGCCTTGTTTATTTCTACCAGTTCAGTGTGGGTGTAAAATGCTACCAAAGCAGGATTTGCTGATGCAAATGAGTACACATGGGGCAAGGCAGCAGTGATTCAGATCCCAGGAGTTCTTGCGCTCACCTTCTCCACACTTTCTAGCTAGACAGCAATGCATCTACTGAACAATACCCCATGGTCTGATTTCCCCCCACTCCAAACACTGAGGGTGTTCAAAACCCGTATCTGTGTTTGGGAAATGGCTCCGCTCTTCATAATGATCCAAACCAAACGCCCAAAAGCCAAAGATCCGCTAACTTCAGGGCGTTTGAAATGCAGATGCAGCTCTGGAGTTGGCATCCAGGTTCCATCCCCACCTTAGAACCAGGGGTTTGGGTTGGGGGCAGCCCGATATAACACAGAAGGGTAGGGATGGAAGGCTTGATGAGTTCTTCCAAATAGGCTGCTGCACAGTTCCAATGACCAGGGTGGAGTTCAGGGTGCAGAATCATAGAAATGTGAGGTTGGGAGGGATCTTGAGAGGCCATCTAGTCCAGACCCCTGCGCTGAGGCAGGACCAAGTAAACCTAGACTAACCCTGACAGGTGTTTGCCCAACCAGGCTGTCCTTCAACACCTCCAGTGATGGGGATTGCACAACCTCCTTTGGACACCTGTTCCAGAACTTAACTACCCTGTAGTTAGAATGTTTTTCCTACTATCTAACCTAATTCTTCCTTGCTGCAGATTAAGTCCATCTCATCTTGGCCTACCTTGAGTGGACACGGAGAACAGTTGATCACAGTCCTCATTACAATAGCCCTTCACATATTTGTTATCAAGTCCTCACCTCGGTCTTCTTTTCTCAGGACTAAACATGCTCTGTTTTTTAGCCTTTCCTCATAGGTCAGGTTTGCTAAACTGTTTATCATTTTTGTCACTGTCCTCTGGACTCTCTCCAGTTTGTCCACATCTTTCCTAAAGTGTCACACCCAGAACCAGGGGCAACAGAGCCTTCCCGAAAGTGGGCGGGCCAGGGGCCCTGTCCCCTCCATGGCTCCACCCCTGACCATCCTTTCCCCCAAGGCCCCAGCCCCCCGGCCAAGCCAGAAGCCAGAGCGGGGCTGGGGAGCCTGGACCCTTCCACCTGCCCGAGGTGGGGGGCCCAAAAGCAGCCCCTGGCCCGTATCCCCCCCTTCCAGGCCCCCGGCCCAGGACAGGTGGAGGGTCTGCGGACTTCGCACAGCTGCTCACGCAGCTCTTACCCTGACCCGGCTCCAGCCGGGGCACAGGGCCTTGGAGCCGCAGCCGGGCTATGGGCTCCAGCTGCTGACCTGGTTGGGGGGCAGGGCCTCAGGGGGAAGAGGAGGGGCAGAAGCCAGGGTCCGTGGTGAAAAGTGGATGGGCCAGCCCCGTCCACTTTCAAAAAATGGGAGAGCCGTGGCTCCCTGGCCACTCTGTTCAGGCGTCATTGCAGCTAAGGCCTCACTACTGCTGAGTAAAGTGTGACAATTACCTCCTGTGTCTTACACACGATACTCCTGTTTATACACCCCAGAATGATATGAGCCTTTATCCAAACTGTGTCACACTGTTGACTCATATTCAGTTAGCGAGCCACTATAACCTCCAGATCCTTTTCAGCAGTAATACTGTCTAGTCAGTGATTCGCCGTGTTATGTTCGTGCATATGTTTTCCTTCCTAATTGTGGTACTTTGCACTTGTTGGACCAGTTCTGCAATTTGTCACAGTCGTTTTGAATTCTAATCCTGTCCTCCAAAGGGCTTGCAACCTCTCCCAGCTCGGTGTTAGCCACAAACTTTAGAAGCATCCTCTCCTCTCTATTAACCAAGTCATCAATGAAAATCATCAGACCCAAGAGAGATCCTTGCAGGTATGTCCTCCCAGTGTGACAGCGAACCATTTATAATTATTCATTGCGTATGGTCTTTCAACTGGTTATGCACCCACCTTATAGAGATTTCATCTAGACCACATTTCCCTTGTTTGCTTATGCGAATTCATGTGGGACTGGGTCAAAAGCCTGACTAAAATCAAGATAAGAACATAAGAACAGCCATACTGGGTCAGACCAAAGGTCCAGTTAGCCCAGTATCAGTGGCCAATGCCAGGTGCCCCAGAGAGAATGAACAGAACTGGTAATCATCAAGTGATCCATCCCCTGTCGCCCATTCCCAGCTCCTGGCAAACAGAGGCTAGGGACACCATCCCCATCCATCCTAGCTAATAGCCATTGATGGACCTATCCTCCATGAATTTATCTAGCTCGTTTTTGAATAGCCTGTTAAAGTCTTGGCCTTCGCCACGTCCTCTGGCAAGGAGTTCAAGAGGTTGACAGAGCAGACATCCTGTCTACTGCTTCCCCCCATCCATGAGGCCTGAAAGCTGAAACAATCCCATGGAGGGAGCAGGCAGAGGTGAGGGAACAGCCTGATGGAGATGCCATTCTGGTGAAGACCCATTCGTGTCATTTCACTGATGGATACCATGAGCACTGGTTAGGAGGAAGAGGGCAGATTGCAGCTAATCTGGTTTTGTGATTAGGACACTGGGGGGAGAAGCAAATTCAAGTGCTGGCTGCTGTACATAGGGGCTCTGGAGCAATTTTTATAGTGCAGGGACTGAAAGTCATTGAACATAAGTGTATGTTCATTAGTACATCAAGCCAGGGGGCACCGCACCAAACACAGCCTTTACAGGGCTTGTCCGGGATCTCTCACCACCCAAGTGAGAATCATGGCCCTAGACCAAACAAGCTACTTTCTCGCTGTACAAGCTGGAGGGGTCCTGCTGCACCCAGAGTACCCCTCGTTCCAGTGCTCCACATCCAACACACTTCCTGGGAGACCTTGCACCGGCTATTGAGGGGCAGCTTCTCAAATTCTCACGATTCCGCTTGCCTCCCTTTTTTCCAAAGAGCTCAGCTCCCAGCATGCTGGCTGAACACTTTTGAAAACCTGGCCCTCACTCGCTCTGTGCCTCGGTTTCCCCTTCAGAAAGAGAAGGCTAATTATAGCAGACATGCCCCAGATCTTTCGACTCTTCGTGCCAGGGTCCCTTACTCTGCCCTTTTCCCATGCCAGGGGTTCTGTGTTCACCGCTTTTATTTTTTCTTTCTTTCTCCTGGCTTTTCTTTCAGGATGCCGACATTTTAATCTCTGGGGGGCATATGGGCAGAGCTGAGATGGGGTGTTGCTGTGTTGGAAGGTGTTAATGGAGGCCATTAACTAGTTCTTTGATCTAGAGGTGACTGAAGCTGCTGGCTCTGCTAACCAGATACCGAGGGCTCTGTACGTCCTCCATTTCTCCCTTCCTTTTTTCCCCCCGACGTTCACCCAAATCCAAAAGGTTCCTCCCACCGATGGCTAGGACACTCCCTGAAATTTTGCAATTGATTGGAGGTGGTGTTCAAGCAGTATCGTGTTCCACGGTCCCGACAGACAGCGAAATGCCATGGGGTTGAGAGTCAGGGGAACTGATCTGAGTAGCCAAACTATTCCAGAACAAGAGCGTCCACACTGGGAGCTATCTGGAAATAGCTCTGTCGAGTTACATTCACACCTTGCCTTATTCTGGAATAACTCCTATAGACAAGCTCTTAGGCCTCACAAGCTTGGCCAATAATAACACACAGGCCTCTCTTAGCACAGCTCTGTTCCCTCACAGGGAACTGCCTTCATGGCACATCTGCCCGCTCCCTGGCCTGACTGCCCCCTCGCCCACCAGCTGCTTGGTGGAGCAGACAGTGGTGCCTGACTGCCTGCACAAGGCAATCGGCCTTGCAGTGACATGTCCCATGGTGCTCTGAGTGCTCCAGCCCCAGTGGGAATAACCTTCCACTCCCTCTCAAAGCAAAGAGCTTGTGTAACCCACACACCTCCTGGATGTGGTGCTCTGTCCCCTCTAGTGGTACCGAGACCACTTCAAGATTAATGAGTCTGCTACAGCCTTAGCTAGCGGCCAGGTGGCTTTTGACTCATGCAGTAAAAGCTCATGCATTTAGCTTCAGAGGTCTCAGGTTCAATCCTGCCCGCCGACAACCGGGGTCTGTCGGGGTTACACTTGCAAGGGGGGCTGCAGTGTCAATGAAAGCTGAGCTGACCAGGCTAGAATACAGACGGGGGGGAATTCACCCCTGTGCTGGGGATGCATGCAGGGCCCGTGCATCACTTACGGGGGCTAAAGGCACACTCCAGTGGCACGCAGCCCTTGGGCTGGCCCGTGGCAAAGGGCTGGAGTTCAGCTGGAGCGTTTAAACAAGGCCGGTGGCTTTTCCTTTTCTGCAGCCAACAACAATTTTCCGCAGACGTGGTCTGGAGCCCGTTCAGGCCCCGTCCTGCCTTCCAACAGCCACAGAGTGCACGAGGCATGCAGGAGTCAGAGCTTTACTGTTTGCAACAGAAGCGATAGCTAAGGACAAAGGCCGGTGCCATTTTCGACCGTCGGTGTTGTGGGCACTCGTGTTTGCCTTTCTCTCCTGCGCGCACACGTCCTGTTCCAGCTTTCTCAGCTCCTGCCTGGACAGGAACTGGCACTTAGATAATGAAGAGGGTGTGGATGGTCTCATTTCTCTCCATGACTCAATTTGCACCAATGAAAAGTGTGAACCGTGTATTGCTGTCGGTCTCCAAGCCATTGTTTCATCCCTGGGCAAGGAGTCACAGGAGACTTTCCCAGGGCTCGGCTATCTGCAAAGCACAAGGAGAACCGAGTGCAAGCTGTTTCAGCAAGTAGGGAGGCACAGACGCTGAAAAGGCACCGGCATGGCCGGCCAGCTGGCGGAGGAGCAGATCGCAGAGTTCAAAGAAGCCTTCTCGCTCTTTGACAAAGATGGCGATGGGTCCATCACCACCGGTGAACTGGGGACCGTCATGCGGTCGCTGGGGCAGAACCCCACCGAGGCCAAGCTGCAAGACATGGTCGGCGAGTTGGACACTGACGGCAGCGGCACGGTGGACTTCCCCGAATTCCTGTCCTTGATGGCGAGGAAGATGAGGGACATGGACAGCGAGGAGGAGATCCGGGAAGCCTTCCGGGTCTTTGACGAGGATGGGATTGGCTACATCAGCGCGGCGGAGCTCCGGCACGTCATGACCAACCTTGGTGAGAAGCTGACGGATGAGGAGGTGGACGAGATGATCAAGGAGGCCGATGCAGATGGCAACGGGCAAGTCAACTACGAGGAGTTTGTGAGGATGATGGTCTCAAAGTGAAGATGTCTCCTATTGAACTTGTTCAATTTCTGGTGCAGGAACCATAGCTTGGCTTCTAGCTCATCCGCAGAAGCGTCTGTCCCACTGCCAAAGGACCATGGATACCCAGACATTTGAACTCCAGCATATATATTTCCTCTGTGTGTGGGAGGCAGTCTAACACTGAGGGAGGCATGGTCACATGGAAGTTCAAGGTGGGGGCTGGCATCAGGAGCCCTGGATTCTAGTCCTAGCTCTGCCATTAGTTTACTGTGCAGCCTTGGAGTTTCTTAACCTCTCCATGGGGTTTTGTTTTCACCGCTTGTACGAAGAGGAGAATACCATGTACCTACCTCTGTGAGGTGGCTGTGAGAACCTGAAACGGAAGAAGCCCTATGGGAGCCATTATTACAGGCTTTATAGGCCAAGGAGCAGTGGTCTCAAGTTGCAGTGGAGGAGATCTAGGCTAGATATTAGGAAAAACTTTTTCACTAGGAGGGTGGTGAAGCACTGGAATGGGTTCCCTAGGGAGGTGGTGGAATCTCCTTCCTTAGAGGTTTTTAAGGTCAGGCTTGACAAAGCCCTGGCTGGGATGATTTAGTTGGGGAGTGGTCCTGCTTTGAGCAGGGGGTTGGACTCGACCTCCTGAGGTTCCTTCCAACCCTGATAGTCTATGATTCTCCCTTTGTCTCACTATCCCTGCCCTTGTTTGCAAACATTGCTTGTGTTTTACATGGGCTACTGTCTCTAAAGTTCACTTGGGGGGTCACCCAGGGCAATAGCTGGGGTCTGGTTCAGGCCCAGCCATACGTATAACTAAGTCAACGGTGGATTTCTACTCCATCAAAGGCAGTTGTCTGAGGGCACTCAACAGGCACCCAGATACCATGGCGACGAGTGCAGCAGAGTAATCCGAACGGCATCGCTTAGAATAGGAGTCAGATTAGCAGGTGCATGAATGCCGGGCGGTGCGTGTCCTGTCTCTGCATTCTGGCTGGCTGGAGCAAAGCTATTGCTTGTAACTTGGAAGGCAGATAGAGTTCAAATGTTGGCTTTTGTAATAGCTAGAGATCCCTCCTGAGAATATTTCCTGACCGAAAGGCTCAACGAGGGTTTGAGCTTTCATGGGAACTCTCTCTGGGGTCAGATACATCCCCTAAAGAAATCTATGAAGTGACTGCGAGCCCTTCCTCTGATTCCTGATTGTGCGTGGATCTCTAAGGAGCGGGAATGGAGGAGAAATATGCAAAGGTTCAGGCTTCTGTTCTCATGTACACTACTTTAAATCCAGAGTTGCTCCCCTAAACTCACTCCGGATGCCAGTAGAAGAAAGCCCACAGAACAACTCCTCCACCCCCTTTTTTCCCTCTTGTTTTGTTTGATTACTTTGGGCCAAATTCTGCTCTTAGTTACACCAATAAAAAACGAGACAAATTCCACTGACGGAAATAGATTTACACTGGTGTAGCTGAGAGCGGAACTGAGCCTTTTATGGGGCATGGAAAGTTTTTTAAACACAGCATGGGCAAAACATGCAGATAAATCAATGCCTGGTACATATGGGTACAAGATAGTCCTTTACTTTAGGCCCTTTGCAACTGGCTCCATGCTGTTGACTCGGCGGGCCGTGTTCCCATAAATATTGTATAACAATACAAACGTTAAAGTCAGACATTTGCCAAACAGGTGTAATCCCCCCAGACCTCGGTACAATTTTTAAATCTCCTACCAGAAAACGTTTCCTTCTGTTGTTCCTGAGCCGCTGACAAATCAGCTGAGATGTTTAGCTTCAAAGGAATCTGCTTAGGGCACAGTTGGCCTCAAATCCATTCCAAATTATAGCCTCATTTCAATCAATAATTCTTTTCCCTTCTCTCCTGCAGCCCTCTTTTCATCTTCTGTTTTATTCCCCACCTGCTTGCAATCAGACAATGACATAAAGGGAAAGGCTGAAAGCTAGGTCTAGCTGGAAACTAGGGTTTGAGAGCAAAGATACGGGTGAAGATGTCCAAAACCGGGTAAAGTTAACTGCTTAAATTCTCATTTAGGTGTCTAAATAAGTAGCCTGGTTTTCTGTGGTTTGGACATTGAAGTCAGTAGAAGGTGCTGGATGCTCAGCATTTTTGAAAACCAGGCCACTTATTTAGTCGCCTAGATGTGAAAGTAAATGGGAGTTAGGTGCCTAAATATCTTTGAGGATCCGGGTCTTGGAGCCTAACTTTAGGCAGCCATTTTGGAACATCTTGGCCACAGGCCTGCATGCTGGTTCCATTACAATAGGTGGGGGTTTGACAGCATAGGAGAATTTACCTCAACGAAACCAGCCTAAGCAGAGTATGGTCTGAGCAAGAGGAAATAAGTGTGGGGGCCAGGAGCTACAAAGGAAGCAAAGGGTTGTCCTCAGGCCTGGGGAGAATCACGCAGCAGCCTTTCACCAGTGTTTGTCAGAGGAATGGGAAGGAGCTGATTTTAGGCCTAAAAATGTTTAAATGGATACATTGCCAACTCTCACAATGTTATCACAAGTCTCACCCTGTTTGGTGGGTTTCTTAAAGCCCCAGCTCCTGGAGTCATGTGACTACATGACAATCCCTGCATTCCGTATATATATATATGTATATATATTCTAGCCCTTTTGGTTGCAGAGAAAATCTTGAAAATGTGACCCAAGTGACCCGCAAAGGTTCCAGAAACAGAAGGCAAATAACAAGAATGCCACATTTGTTGTCAAATCTCTTGATTTTTAAGCCAATTGCTTGAGTTTGGGGGCATGACTCATGATTTTTGAACACTTTAGACAGATAGATATGTAAGGGGACTGTTGCCCCCTTACTAACATTCAGTGAGAGTGTTTTAGTTGCTAGCTCCCAGTACTAAAAGGGGAAGTGACGATGGGGAATCAGGACCCTGAGACTGACAGCCCCCCAGGAACAATGGGGAGAGGCCAATGCTCCAGGTCAGCCCGAATGACAGGGCGGGCAGGCTAATTAGAGGGTCAAGAGGCCAGGAAGGTCCCGTCTTCAGTGTGAGCTGGAATTGTCTGGGTCAGACACAGCGGGGCCCGAGCTAAGGAGAAAGCAGGGGCCCACGCTAAGCTGGGGAGCAGAGCTGGGCCAGATCCAGAGGGACCAGAAAAGCAGCCCAGAGAGAGCAGACCCTGTCCTGGGAGCAGAGCTGCAGCCCCAAAGCCAGAGGCACAGCCCAGAGAGAGCAGACTGGCCCTGGGAGCAGAGCTGCAGCAACCAGAGCCAGAGGGGCCAGAAAAGCAGCCCAGGGAGCAGGTCAGTGCTGGGAGCAGAGTCACAGAAGCAGCCTGCAGAGCAGACCTGTCCTGGGAGCAGAGCTGCAGCAACCAGAGGCAGAGGGGCCGGAGAAGCAGCCCAGGGAGCTGGAGGCAGAGCAGCAGCAGCCCGGCAGAGACCGAGTGGAGCAGCTGGGGCTGGAGCAGTCTGGAGCTGGGTGCGGTGAGCAGCTGGGGAGAGCGAGGGGGACCCTGGGCAGCGGGTCCAGCACAGGGAGACGTCTCAGCCAAGGGGCTCTGCAGGCCAGGCTTGGATCGTAACCCCGACGGGGCGGGGGTGACACTGGGAAGAAGGGTCCTACCACTTAGAGCCTGAGAGCGTGTGGCCACCACCACAGAGAGTGTCCAACCCACCGCATCCCTGCAGCACAGCCAGGGCCGGAGAAGGAGGCCAGGGACTTACAAGGAACAGACTGTGAACTGCCCTGACGTTCCAGAGACCCTGTTTGTGATGTTCCCTGCCACAGAGCGGGGTGATGTGTTTCCTTTAACCTTTCCCATTTTGCCTTATTCTTTTTAAAATTAATTGTTGATTAAATAACTTGCATTTGCTTTAACTTGTATGTAATGGTCGGTGGGTCAGAGAAGTGCCCAGTGCAGAGAGAGTACCCCGGAGTGGGGACACCCTAGCCCCTGTCCTAGGTGACCACAGCAGGGTTGGGGGTTGAGCCCCCCAGGAATCCTGGGCCCAGCTTGTTGGGGTTACGAGGACTCTGCCAGACAGGAGAGTGGAAGGGGAGTCCTCAAGGGCAAGGAGGCCATTGGGTAAAGGAAGTGGGAGCGAGGACTCAGATCCTTTTGCTAGCCCACTTCACCGGGGTAGTGCAGAAGCCAGGAAAGTTCCCCACAAGAGTGGGACTATTCCCCCGCTTACAGATAGATAGATAGATAGATAGTACAATTTTTGTTTCAAGACCCAAAACAATGCAAATCACCTGGTATGGGCTTTGGTTACAAACTGGAAACTCAAGCCAGGTTCACTTTTGCAATAATCCTGGCCCCATTTTCAAGCCAACCTGAGTTAATTGATTGATTGTCACTGAAAGTAGGTGACACACCTAGGCACTCTGGAGTGACTTCTCCTGGAATTTGGGAGGATTGCGGAAATGCAGGGAGAGGCTGTTGTTGGTTTAATCCCAATAGCCTGTGTGCGCTCCGGGATTTGCCAGCACTCCCAGGTTTGTCTCTCTTCTTTAAGAGTCGCTATTCCGCAAATAAACTCATCGGCCATCCCCGCCCACCCCCCACCCCCCCGAAAAAAACCTCAGCCATAAACTTCATTGGGATGAGAGTTATGAAATCTCCCCCCACCCGCACACGCATTCACAAACACTCTCCCCCCCGATTTCAAGCCCCTCTGGGATCTGCTAGGATTATACGGAGGAAGTTCGCATTTTCTGGCTCCTGAGTATCTATTTTCAGCATAAAACACATACAGCCAGCGCCTGTTTTCCCACCAGCAGTCCACTGCCTGAGCACGAGCCTCCAAAACATCTAGTTAGGAACTGCCCTGTGGCTCCCGGACTGGAAGGAAACACCATCAGGGAGTGAGTGAAGCGCTAGGAAAATCTGGAAGAGCTCCTAAGGTGAACCAAACAGCCCTTGAAGTATCTGAGCGTCCAGCCCTGCGGCACAGAGAATAGTTCGGAGTTACATTGATTCAGCTCCTTTCATCTTGGCATGGCTGAACATTTTGCAAACGTTGGGCCTGATGCAGGCA